AATATTCCATTGGTTGTGTTCCAGTTCAATATTGATACGATCAATCTAGCTGAGAATGGAAGAGAATTTCTTAATCACATAACATTAGAGCTGAAACGGACTTTGGAGATCATCTAATAAAATCTCTTCATTTTACAGATGAAGAAACTGAATGAGGCCCAAATAGAGAGAGTGACTTCCCCAAGGTCAAAGACTGAGTTGGCAGAAGAGCTAGGACTAGAACCTGACCTAGGTTTCCTAAGTTCTAGTCCAACTACCACTTGTTAAATTCAAATCACCTCCCCTTAAAATTTATTTTTAATTCATGAAGAATTTATTGTGAAGAAAAGGAAGGAAGGAATCAAGAGAGGAAGAAATGAGTGAAGAATGGAGGAAGGAAGAAAAGAAGAGAGAGATGAAAAAATGAAGAAAGAAAGGAAGCAAGAGAGGAAGGAAGAAAGAAAGGAAGCAAAGGAGGAAGGAATAGAGGAAAGTAGCAAGAGAGGAAGGAAGACAGGAAGGAAGCAAAGGAGGAAAGAAAAGAAGAAAGGTAGGAAACAAGGGAGGATGGAAGGAAAGAAAAAAGAAAGAGAGAAAGAAAGAAAGAAAGAGAGAAAGAGAGAGAAAAAGAAAGAAAGAAAGAAAGAAAGAAAGAGAGGAAGGGAGGAAGGAAGGAAGAAGGAAGGAACAGAGGAAGGAAAATAGGAGGGTAGCAAAGAAGGGAGGGAGGAAAACTATGTTCTTATGATAAAGGGAAAGAAGAAATGTTTCAAAAGCTGGCATTTAGGAAAGTTCTTTAGTGTGGCCCACACAACATTGGTGACTGCAAGTCATTATCTTTTAGGTAGTAATGTAGTACAGTGGAAAGAGCAGTCAAGACAGAAGGTCTTGGTTCTCTTTCTCTTTATGGTTTTGGCCAACTTTCTCAACCTCTCTGAATGACCTAGGATAATAAAAATAGGTAGCATTTATAGAATACTCTAAAGTTTGCAAAGCTCTTTACTTACATTATCCTACTAAATCCTCACAATAGCCCTTTGAGGTAAGTGCTATTATAATCTCCATATTACAGATGAGGAAACTTGAGGCTGAGATAGATCAAGTGACTTGTCCAGCATCACACAGTCAGTCTGAGACACACACAGTCTGAGACAAGAGTTGGGCTCAGATCCCAAGTCCAGCACTGTTTTCACCAAGATTCACTAAAGCTTCCTAATCACAGAATTTAGGCCAGCAAGATACTTTTTAGTTCTCTACCCTCCCACTTTACATATTGGGAAGCTGGAGCACAAGGAGGTGATATGACTTGTTTTAGGTAAAACAGGAAATAAGTAGCAGAGCCAAGAATTGTATCCAAATCTCTGGTGCCAAAAAGGGTGCCCTTTCCCACTATATTAATTTCCTCATTTGCAAAAAAAAAGAAAATGGAGCAGTAATCCTTGCCTTCCCCCTCCTTGTGGGTTACTTTAAGGATCAAAAGGATATAATAGATGTAAAAGTACTTTGCAAACTATTAAAACGCTCTATAATGTGAATGGTTACTATTATTACCTTTAATAGTGAGTCAGCTCATTGCCAGACACTTAAAGAGTAGGTCTCCAAGACCCATTTCTTCAAGAAACCCTCACCTGCATCATTAGTCTTTAATAATGATGATTAATGAGTCTTTCTGGGAGTTTTAAAATGTAGTTGAATCAAATTAGACTTGAATGCAATTATGGGAAGACTATTTAGAGCTGGAGTTCCTACCCTTTTTATGACATGGACCCTTTTAGCAGTTGGGTGAAGCCTATTCTCCAAATAATGTTTTTAAATATATAAAATAAAATACAAAAGATCACAAAGGAAACAAATTATATTGAAATAAAGATGTGATTTTCCCCATCCACGTTTTTGCCTCTCTGAAACATATCCACAGATCTCTGGTTTAGAACTTCTGATTTAGACATGGGGTCTAAATATATGTAGGAAATAGGTGCATTGGATGAGTCTACAAAGAAGCTAGATCCAAGCCAACTTAAGCTGCTTTTTTTAATACATTCATCAACTCTGAGAAGGTTTTGGAATCTTTTTAAAATATAGAGGTCATGTAAAATGCTTGCTAGAATAAACAAGAATATATCCATATGTAATATGTGTGAATGTGAGTATATATATGCACACACGTTTTAGGCCTATGTGTACATGTATGTACATGTGTTTTAGGCATATATATATGTACACATGTGTACATAAGCCTAAGAGAAAACCTCACAACCTTCTCTGGGTTTTAGTGCCTTTTAGTCACTCGAGACATTATATAATAGGACAGAGCCTCTTTAAACAAGTCACTAACACTTGTTAATAATGTGGCCATAAAAACCCCAATGAAATGTTAATTAGTTTCTTTCTTGTTAAAATCTAATTTTGAATAATTCTTAGTCATCCTTTTTAAAAAATAAATTAAGGATGAAAACAATATGTTTTCCAAAGTTGAATATCATATTCTCTTTATGAGTGATGAGTTTTCTGCCAGCTACTAGGAGACAAATGTTTATTGCTTTCTCCCAGACCAGAATGCCCTCCTTGCTGCCTCGCCATATTCTGCATGTTTTTCAAGGCCCAATTTAAGTCCCACTTCTTCTAGGAAAACTTTCTACAACCTACACAAATCACTTTCTTTTCAGCTTTTATACCAAACCATCTGGGCCACAGATTTTCCTACTTCAATACATATTTCTTTCCAAAGATTCATGGTTTCATCCCTTGTGGGGGCTTTTCCACCAGCGCCAACTTGCCTCAGATAGCTTGTAGCCAAAAAAGAGAAAATTCCCGCCTGGTGGCCTACCTGGTGAAGAGGTCACTAGCCTCTCCAAAGTTAGTTAGACTGGGCCTCAGGTGACAGGTTCAGTCTATTGCCAAGACTGAAACATTTCTCACTTGGTAGGACCTTCCATAGGTTGACATGCCCTTCTTTAAAACATGGTATTGTCTCTATACCATGAATCTTTGAATGAGGACGTTAGTGGAAATGTGTACTGTTATACATTTCCCTTCTTTATGTATCTTATCTCCCCACATGCCACATCAGCATCCAATACAAATGTGTATGACTCTTATTGGTGTTTACATGTGGGTTGAATGTGGACCAGTTAGATGCTCTAGATCACTGGCCTATACCTTCTGCATGCTATATTTGCTATTAAATAAATTTGTAAGCTTCTTAAAGACCATGAACTATAGGGTCAAAGGAGTTAGGATATGTTAGGTTGGAGCTGCCCAAAGTAGTACACAGATCTTTGAATTACTGAAGTGTCCTATGAACCTTCATCCCAACATTGTTCTGGTCCTGCTGGTCCTCAAACAATATCATCTCACACTCCCTTCTCTGCTTGCACTCCTGATTATCTGTCTCCAGTGGAAGAAGGCAGACCTCAGTGCCAATTAGGAACATTATAATCTCAAGTGTTCCTTTAATGTGCTCAGAAAAAGAAAACTTTGATTCTTTGATTGGTGATCCAGCTCATTCTGTTCAGTGGTTGTTAAATTCGATTCATTCTTTCTCTAACCCCTCAGTGACTCCATCAGTACCTCTTTCTTGGGAGATATCCTTGCCTCCTACTTTACTGAGAAATGAGTTGATCTGACTTGAGCTTTCTCTTCTTTTCTACTCTATACCTCAAAATCCCTTTACATCTTCATCATTTATCCTGTCTCTGAGGAAGACATGGCTTTGCCAAGGTCAACCCCTGTATCTGTGCTTATAATCCCATTTCTTTCTATCTCTCCTTATCCCCACCAACCAATTCCTTTCTTTCACATCTCTCTATTGGCTCTTTCCCATGATTCTTAGAAGCCTGCTGAGGCCTGCTGAATCCTAGGAGAAAAAACAAAAACAAAAACATTCACTAGACCCTACCATCCCTTCTAGCTCTTGTCTTAATGCCTCTTCTTTTTACCATTAAACTCATATATGGAATCATCTACTCTAACCATCTCTAATTTCTCATTAAGTACTCACTTCTTACTCTTTCACCACCATTTGATTAAATTGCCCTTTCCACAATTACAAATGATCATCTAACTGATAAATGCAATGGTTCTTTCTTAGTTCTCATCCTTCTTGATATCTCCAAGGCTTCTAATACTCTTGACCAACCATTCATCCTGCATACTTTCTCTTCCCTTGTCTTCTGTGACACTGCTGTTTCTTGGTTCGCTTTCTATTTGTCTGAACACTCCTCAGTCTCGTTTGCTGGATCATCATCTATCTATTGCCCTCTTAGAATGGGTTTTTTTTCCCCAGAGCTTTGTCCTGAGGTGTCTTCTAGACTTTCCAGTGGTCTTCCTAAAGTGCAAGTCTAATGATGTCACCCCCTGCCTCTTACTCAATACACTCCAGTGGCTCCCTATTAAGTCAAAGATCAAATAGAAAATCTGTTTGGTTTTTAAACCCTTCACAATCTGGTCCCTTCATACCTTTCTAGTTTTCTTATGCCTTATTCTATTCCAGATATCCTTTGAACCTGTAACACTGATCTCCTTGCTATCCCTCATACAGGATGCTCAATCTCCAGACGTCATGCATTTTCATTGGCCATCCCCCCCCATGCCTAGAACTCTCCCCTTCCTCATTTCTACTTCCTGGTTTCCTTCAAGTCTTAGCTAAAGTCCTTCTTTCTGCAAGAAAAATTGATAGCAAGGACATTATAGCGAGAAATTTTCTTTTCTAAAATGTGCCACCTGGAGGGAAATGTTATATTCCAGATTTAACAAGTCATATTTCTCTAGCACTATTAAGGTTTGCGAAGACCTTTCCTTCACAATGACCTTGTGAGTAGGTAGTGAAAGCATTATTGTACCTATTTTACAGATGAAGAAATTGATTTTCAAAGAGGTGGTTTTCATAGTGGCATGCAAAGAGTGAACTAGCTAGTCAGAGTGGAGCTGGGATGAAAACTCAGTTTTCCTCACCCTTTCTACTACTCCCAAAGCTGCCTCTCCAGATGTAATGTGAGCAGGGCAGAGGACAAGAATCTCACCTCCAATTCATATGTCCTTTTCCAGGTCTAGAATTCCAAAGTTTTCTCTTGGGTGATGCCAGCTGCGTAGGTCCTCACATAGACTGCTGAATACTCACCCATCTTAGCAGGAGTTTTCTAGGGAGAGTTATGATTTGTAGAAGGAAGTCGTCCCACTTTAACTGAGATCTCTCTAGTTTCCCCTCACCAGCCGCAAGCTTAGGAGTATTGCGACACACAACCCTCAGGAGTCCTAGGTGCTCTATAAATACACACTGTTGTTATTGAAGCTTATGTCATCATGCCCCATGCTAAAAATAGCCCTTGGGCACAGGGTAGAGATTTCAGTGATTTTTTTTTAGAAAAATTGGACTCATTTCTCTCCATGTGACCAACTCATGTAACCATTATTAGGGGAAAGGGATTGAAAAAAAATTTTTGCATGAGAAACCAAGCCTTTTCTACCCATCCAAAGAAATGCAAATGTGGAGAATCTATAGCTCTCTCCCCACTGTCATAAGATTGCTAGCACCTGCTTCAAGTCTCTCCTGCTCTGCTCCAAGCTGACATTCACAAAGCTGACAAAGTGATTTTCTTAAGGCCTGACCATGTCATTCCTCTGATCAACAAATTTCGGTGGCTCCCTATTATTTCCAGGGAATATTAGCTGCTTTGTGAGGCATTTCAAGCTCTTGCTCACTTGGCTTAACCAGCTTTACACATTACTCCCCTTTGTCACTTTATAGTCCAGAAAATTGCTTTTCTTTTCCTCACAAATGACATTTCCTGTCTTTTTGACTTTGGACTGGCTATCCTGTATATGTATCAAGCACCTCTGCCCTTTTGGAATCCCTACTTTCTTTGAGACCCATCAGCGAAAGCACCATCTTCTGCCTTCTCTGATCCTACCCGATTGCTAATGTCTCTCCTCCCCAAGGTGATCCCGAAGCCAGCCAGACCAGACTGTGAGAGCTCAATTTATTGTTCTATTGCTGGTTTAGACTTAATGAAGTGGAGGGGGAAATGTTAAAATTCAGATTAAAGAAAGTAAAGGTCTCTTGTACCCACGTTTGTTTTTTTTTTTTCTGGAGAGCTGGCAGTCAAACATTCAACCAGCATCTGGCTCCATATACTTATACCTGTGCATGTCATCTCCCCTGTTAGGAAGTAAGCTCCTTGAAGGCAATAACCACTTTGCTTTTGTCTTCACACCCCTGGTGCCTAGCACAACTGGCATATACTAGGACTTTCATGTTGTTCGTCCTTCATTTTTGAAGAGAACCAATGACATCACAATGTTGGGGTCAGGGTACTTGTGCTCTGCTGTGGCTGGTCAGTCCAATCAATACAAGTTCAGAAGACTCCACCACAGGTTGGACACAAGTAGTTCATTAGGACATTTGGGATGGAGATGTCTCTGGATTTGGGCAGCTCGTGTTTCCTTTATACTACTGAAACTCTGCTTTGCTTGTGGAGTATAGAGTCTTCTTTGATGTGGGCATGCCATGCTGGGTGGTCCTGTATCTGCATCTCCTGCATCTCTCAATCGATACTAAAGCTCTTCAGAAAGACCATGACAGTGTCCTCCTATCACTTCTTTTGACCTCTGTGTGAGCGCTTGCCTTGTTTGAGTTCTCTGTAAAATAGTCTTTTAGGTAAGAATGTGTTTGACATTCAAGTATGTGGGCAGCCCATAGGTGTTTCACTCTCTGAAGTAGTTTGGATGCTTGACAGTTCAGCTCAAGGGAAGACCTTATCACGCCAGGTAATCTTCAGAATCTTCCTCAGATAATTCAAGTGGAAGTGGTTCAGTTTTCTGGCATGGCTCTGATAAGCTGTCCAGGTTTTACAGGAGTACAAGAATGAACTCAGCACAATGGCTCTGTAGATCTTCAGTTTGGTAAGCAGCCTAATACCTCTCTTCTCCTACACTTTCTTTTGGAGCCTCCCAAACAATAAGCTAGCTCTGGCAATGTCTGCATCAACCTCATCATCTTTGTGGACATCCTTAGAAAGTATACTGCCAAGGTAAGTGAACTTATCTGCAACATTCAAACTTTCTCCATTTCCTGTGTTACTAATGGTTCCACCTACGGATGGTGCTGTGCTGGCTGCTGGAGGACCTCTGTTTTCTTGATCTTGATGGTCAGGCCAAAATTAACACAAGCAGAAATGAATCGATCCATACTTTGTTGCATCTTAGCCTCAGAAGCTGCATTGAGTACCCAATCATCTTCAAACAAAAAGTCACAAACCAACTCTCCCTCCACTTTGGTCTTGGCTTGTAACAGCCTTTTCAGGTTAAATAACTTACCAACAGTGTGGTAGCTGACTTTGATGCTGCTTTTGTCTTTATTGAAGGTGCTTGACAACATTGCTGAAAACATCATGCTAACAAGCATGAGAGCGAGCACACAACCCTGCTTCACTTCACTGGTGATTGGGAAAGCATGAGAGCATCATCCAGAACCCATGAAACCGGCATACAATACTGTTACTATACAAATGCTTGTTGATTGACTGATTGCACTTGTTTCCTGACACTTGGTTATTTGGCTAAATTATGATAATAATCCCTTATAATTTCATTCTAATCTTACAGTTTATTATGGCAGCTAGGACCATAGGTTTGGAGTTTGGAGGTAGAAGGAAACCCTAGAGGTTCACTTAGTGCAGAAGACTGTGCTTCCCCTGCTCCCCTTTCTGCAGTGAGTTGATAGATTTCAGGGAGCCCATGAACATGGAAGAGAAAAATTACATCTTTATTTTCACTAGGTTTTAGTTTCCTTGGGAATCCTATACATTTTATTTTATACATTAAAAAACATTATTTTGAGAAGGGATGTCACCACAGGGGTGTGCTAGTAAATGTTTAACAGCCAGCTCTCCAGAAGAAGAAAAAAAAGAACACAACATACTTTTTTTCTATCTGCCTCAGTTTCTTCATCTGTGAAAAAGAGTTAGCACCTACCTCAGAGTTGTGTAAGGATAAAATTAGATAATATTTATAAAGTGCTTCCCAAACCTTAAAAGTGCTATACAAAGGCTAGCTGTCATTGCTACTTCAGGGACAGAAGACCTTTCCCCAAGCTCCAGAAATATCATCATGCAAGTAGTCTCCCAGATTCTAGGTCCTGAACCCTTTGACAGTCTAGTGACACAGAATTCTACATGGGGCCAGTTCAGACCAAGCCAATAGTTAAATATTTAGTGTGAGAATTTGCGCCTCAGAAATGAGCAAATGACTACAAATCAGGATGTAATTTATTGTTTTGTTGATTGTCTAGACTTAAGAAAGTGATTGAAGAAATAGTAACAATGCAGATTAAATTTAAAAGCCTGTTGTGAGGACAGCTGGGTGGTTCAGGGGTTAGAATGCTGGGCCTAGAGTTAGGAAGATCTGAATTCAAATCCAGCCTCAGACGCTTACCAGCTGTATGGCCCTGGGCAAGTCACTTAACCCTATGGCCTCAGTTTCCTATCTGTAAAATGAGCTGGAGAAGGAAATGGCAAACCACTCCGGTATCTTTGCCAAGAAAACCCCAAATGGGGTCACAAAGAGTTGGAGACAACTAAAATGACAGCAAAATTGTAGCCAGAGCACTTGGCTTGAGTCCCAGCTGTGCTACTTATTTCCTCTTTCTGGGACTCAGTTTCCTCATCTATAAAATGAGGGGGCTGAACTAGCCAATCCCTTTAAGCCCATGATCCTGTGACTCAATTTTATTTTCCTCTAGGCCTTCTTACCTCACAGCTGGGAATGGATCAAAAACAGATTATTTTAGTAGTCATGGTTACAGAAGTTGGCAACTGTGCCAGGGGAAAGCTTTCCTTCACCATCCTTTTCTGAATTGTCTTCCTTCTTGTCTCTTTTATTCTTTCCTTCCAGAGCCCCACTGCCATCTCTTCTTTTCTTCCGCTTGAACTGGCTTCCAGCCAGCTTACAAAGCACTTTCCTTACAGCAGCTGCATGAAGAAACTAGTTCAAATATTAATACACCCATTTTATAGATTAGGAACTTGAAACTTGGAGAGGGGAAGATCTTGCCCACGCTCATACAGCTAATAAATTGTAGAGATAGTATCTAAGTACTTACATCTTCCTAAGTCATCCACATACTTTTCTATCTTTTTCTGTCTTTATGAAAGACTGGCTCTGAAGTCAGTGTTTGGAATATGGTCCTCTTGCTATTAGGAGCAAGCTTAAGAAGATTATCCTTTCCCTTTCTCCAAATTAATTTTAAATGGACAACTTTTATAGGCTAAAAATCCATGATCATCATCAGAACCTTAATGATTTCTTTAAAAAAAAAAACCACGCACACACACCAGCTCTCATCCATGTCAGCTGAAGACACTTGGCAACACTCTTCTCTCTTTATCTTTATGTCTGCCTGCCATTCGTCAGTCTCTCTGTACATCTGTCTTTATCTTCATCTGTCTTTCTTTTATCCTCTCACTAATCATTTTAAAAGCTTGTGTGAAAGCTACACTCATTTATTTCAAAGCTTTGGTCAGTAACCATAAGGACCAGCAATCTGGAGATGATCATGAGAGAATATTCCCATCTCCAGTCTTTGGGGGCTTTTAATTTCTTCCTGAGGGTGGATTCCAACCTTGGGGGAGGGAGGACTACACTCTCAGGAGGTTGAGTGACTTCCTTTCCTGGAGGGTTAGCTCTGGTTGGCCCCAGCCCTGTCTCAGTGACATCTTGAAGTTAGTTATGGGTAATGGCTGAGTACAAATTGTCTAATTGGCATGAAAAGGATGTTAGGAATCTTTAAAAATATATGTTTTGGCTGAGGTTGTGTCTTAATCCCCCATGAGCTATACCGGTTGAAAGCCTTTTTGTGTATGTGTGTGCACAGATTATCTGAAAATGGCTTGGCACTTGGGAATTTTCCATTGGCACTGAAAGAGCTAGTCGCTGCCAAGAAAATAGAGAAAGACATATCAGACTGAAATGGGCCAGTATTTTCTGCCAGTCTCTGTTTCTGAGACTTTTTCCATCCTTCAGGCCATTAAAAAATTTCAGCTTCAAGGCCTTCTAGGGAAAATCTTTGCACTTTTACTTTTAGGTGCTGAAATTCTTCAGACTCCAATGTTTAGTTATAGATGATAATGAGGTTGATGACAACTCTCATTCATTAACACTTCAAAGAATTTCCCTCACATAACCTTGTGGGATAGAAAGTATGCACAGCATTATTCCCATCTTACAGATGAAGAAACTGTAATTCAGGGTGGT